CGCTGTCCTATCGTCTGACCCTCCAAAGGGAAACCTGAAAATCACGACAAGGGATAGCACGGCCACGAAACAAGGTCACCATGCAACGGAGCGGGAGAGAGTCAATCGTGCATAGTACGGCGCCGAGCTCCAGCTGTATCCGCACGACCATTTGTCTGGGTGAGCACCGTAGGATGAATACGCGAGATACTACCCCCCCTACACCGACCATCAAAGCTCGATTACAACCTGCAGCAACACCACCAGCGACGGGGCCGAAAATGCTGAGGTTGGGATCATAATCATTTCGTCGAGAGCTTCTCTTTGCTTTTTGTTGTCTTCACAAAATAAAAAACTGTTCCGGTCTCTGCCCAGCACCTTCTACTTAATATCCGTACCGGTCCAACTCACGCGGGCGTCTGTCGTGGTCAACGGCACCCGTGTACCTAAACAGGGTATAGATACACTTCTTAAAACTCCTGCACGTTGCCCCTCCCAACTCACACCCGTCGTGAAAACAAAAAGAGATTGAGCTATTATAATATCGTCATGATGGTGACATTAATCTAACAATTCTAACAACGGTGATTGTTGTTGCTGTTGTTGCTGTTGTTAATGCTGTCTTCACACATAATTACAACATTACAATGTTGTTCTGGTGAAAACACAACGACCTCAACCGCGGTGTCATCGCGCTCACCAGTATAGGGAGCGGGGATAGAGTTTGGCGGCCGATCGAGGTCGCCCAGCAGCCCCGCGCTGTTCACGACGCAGCGCAGGCCTAACCTCGAGCACGCTCGGAACGCCGCCGATGCTCTCCGGTCGGCAATGACGAGGGCGGGAGGGTCCCGCCGAAGAGCCTGTTCGCACACAAGAAATCCAATGAAAAGCAAGATCGACTTTTACCATCGCATCCAGAAACTGAGTCATCTGTGTGTGTTTGTCCACGCGTCTGTGTGAAATGGGGCACCGCAGAGTATTACCCCGGGTGAAGCGGGAAAATCACCGCTGTTGTTGCTTACCGCCCCGTTTGGTTCCCGGTAACTACCTGTGTAGCTTATACGAATCACTTGAAATATAACCGAGGGGAGAATCTGGGTCGGGAACGAGGGTTTCTGCTCATATCCGATGTGGCACACACGTGCTTGGAACTAGCAGTGAGATTCCCCCATCACCCCATCAACAGCTCTCGATAGGTAGTCGGGAGCACCATATTAGCCGATGCCTGACAGCAGCATTCACTGCGTGTCTTTTGTGCACTTTGCCGCGGTGTCGCTCTAATGCGGAAGCGCGTATCGTCTGATCGTAATCCTGTCGCATGGTATGCGGGAATGAATGCAGGAAACTCACAATTCCTTCCACCGTCTCGTCTAAACTCCAGCCACAAACGCCAACCCCGTACGATTAACACTCTGATGCAGTAGAATACTTCTTTCAGCCACGACTTCGCAACCAGCCCGCAATGCTTGTAGCGTTACGTTTAACTTCAGAAGTCGGTCACTATCGAAGTGAAAATCCAACGTCAAATGAACGCATCAGGTCTTCCAAATGTTGGGATCGAATTTGAAAAACCAACGTCAAATGAATGCATCAAGCTTTTCATGTTCTGGACTTCGCCCTACCCAGCTTCATCGATTCAGATGTGGAAACTTCGAACCACTCGTGTTGCGAGAACAACGGGCCGCAAACTATGGTCGACCACACCGAGGTCACATAAACCGGACTGGAAAAAAAAAAAATACCGAGGACTACTGTATACACTGGTATGCACGCACAAACCGTTACGGCTGTGTAAGGGTAAACCTGATGTGCATGCAGAAAACCGTTACACCCAGCACCTCACCTCAAACAAAGGGGCGTACATCGCCGCCTCCTCCCGGAGGTAAAAGCCGAGGTACGTCTTCAGGTGCCCGAAAAAGGCCCTTGCCCCCACCAAGCTCCCCCTCACCCCCCTCCAGATACCCAGCCCGGCGCCCCACCCGCCGCCGANGCCCCCCCCCCGCCGCCGACCCCCCCCCCCCAAGCGTCCCCGAGTCCCTTCCCCGAACACGGCCTCCTTCTTCCGTTGGCGGGCGGGGGGCGCGCCGGGCAAGGGTGGGCGAAATGCGGCGACGGGGCATACTGCTGCTGCTGCTGCTGCTGCTGCTGCTGCTGCTGCTGCTGCTGCTGCTGCTCCTCAGCGTCTGTAGTCACCGTTGCTTCGCCCGCCGCTGCTGCTAGGTGGTGTTGCGGAGTTTTTGCGGGGGGACCGTGGCTGTGTGCGGTGGCGTTGGAGTTGGGGGCCTCGCCGGTGGGCTTGAGGGAGAGGAAGGAAAGACCGGGGATGTCTTCCACCCTGGTTGAAGCGGAACAACAGCGTCCGTGATATGTGAAACGGCAAAATTACATGGGGGACGGCGGAGACAGGCCAGCGATAGAGAAGCAGAGGGAGAGAGAGAGCAAGGAAGAAAGGCAGAGCACAACACAGAAAGGGCAAGGAGTCCAAAATAGAGAGTGAGTGATCGCATGGAAGGATGAGGTGGGCATGGGGGCACTGGACACACCTTGATCTTGTGAAGATGTGCTACACAGGACAGGACAACCGACGCTTGCTTAAGCGTAGATTTTGCTACACAGCGGTATGACGCTCTTGCAATCTCTTCGACCAAAGACACCCCGTCTCACCAGCGGAATGCATACCATCAAAGCCACCATCGCATCATTACGCCCCCCCCCCCC